CCCCCCCCCTTCTGCGGGCCGCCCTTTCACCCTGGCAACCGCGGCGCGACGAGGGCGCGCGCGCCGGGCTGGGTGCGGACCGGGCGGGGCCGGGCGGCGCCGGTGCGGACCGTGGCTGAGGCGGTGGCAGCAGCGGAGGAGCGGCGGCCGCGGGGAGCGGTCCTGTCCTGTCGGACCTCGTTCGCCTGCCCGCACGGTGCTCCGACGCGGCTTCGGGCCCAGCGGACTTAGCCCCCGGCCATGGACTCCCAGAAAGTAAGCGGGGTGGGGGGCGCGGGCCCGCGGAGGCCGGGAGGAGGGTGGGCGGGGCGCCCCGGCCCGGGTGGATGGTCGGTGCGCGGGGCTGGCGGGGCCCGGCCGGGCTGCGGCCGCGGAGGGTGAGGCCCTTCCGCCGCCCCCCGGCCTCTCCTCCAGAACGGAGAGGACCGCGCCCGGTGACCCAGGCTGGCCTCTGCGCTGCGCTTGGTCCTGGGCCCGGGCTCCTGCCGGGGAAGAGGGAGGTGTTCCCGTCTGTGAACCGTTTTCTGCAGCGCTCTGGCCCCCCCCCCCCGATTCTCGCGGCCTCCCGGATGCTCGTGAGGGTTTACCCCTTCCCAGCAGATGAGGAAACCAAGGCACCTGGGGTCCACCTGCTGACGCCGAGGCGGGTGCGCCCCAACCTCCCCCCCTCCCTCCGCGATCCCCCGCGATCCCCCGCCCCGGCTGCTCCTGGGACTCTGGGCACAATGCATGCGTCTTTAGGTCGGGATCCAAATCTCCTTAGTGCCCCCCCCTGCCGCCCCCCTCTTCGCGGGTGTGAGCGGGTCCTAGCGTTTGGTGTGGGTTGAATTGAGGACGAAGAGAGTTGTCAGAGCAGCGGGTCCACCCTCTTTGACTAGTCATGTGGGGCTAGGCGCCGTTACCTGAGTGGTGATTGTGGCATGTTTTATACTTGCCGAACGAAGTTAAGGAAAGGATATACCGAACAAGCCGTTTCAACTAACAACAACAACAACCACAACCACAATTTAGAGAACATAGCCAACACCATTAGAAGTGAGTTATTAATATTCAGCCATAATCCCTATCTAGAAATCAACCTCCCCGTTCTCTTTGTTAGATTATAGTCATGGAAATATAGTAGAGTAAGGAAACAAGTGTTCTTAATAATGTAGCAGGGAAAAACAAGGGCATATCCAAGAGGGCATTCTTTTCTATTATTAGGTAGAAAGCGCTGGAAAGACTTACTAGAGCCATGTTTTCTGTCCTTTTGCCTGCGTTCACCTTCCTTGAGGAGCACGGGGGGGGGGGCATGAGAGAGTCGTGTAGTGATGGTGCGTTGACTGTTATAGTATTTAACAAAAGTGCACGTGACTCCATTGTATGCGTGCATCTTGAAACTCAGTTGGGTGTACTCAATTTTTATTTCTGTGACTCTCAGGAAGACATTTTTAAAAACTACATTTGTGTGTTTTGAAAAGACGTTTAAAACATCTCTGCCTAAATTTGTAAAACATCTCACAGCTTATTTAACTTTTTAGATTAAAGTCATATGATCTCTGAATGGTATTAGTTCAGGGCAAATGAAAGGGCAAAGACTTGGAATCAAGAGACTTGAGTTCCATTCCTCTGTTTACTGGCTCTGTGATCTAGAGCAAAGCACTTGACTGTGATTAATCTATTTCCTCATGTATGCAGTGAAAGTAAGACTATTTTATAGGGGGGCGGCCGAGTGGCTCAGTTGGTTAAGAGCTCGCTCAAGAGTTTGAGCTCTGAGCAACAGCGGTTCGAGTCCAGCCTGAGTTGAGCAGCCGCTGAGCTGCCAACAGGTAGCAGGATGGCTCAGCTACAAAAAAAAAAGACTATTTTATAGGGTTATTGTAAAAATCAGGTAAATGATTCTGAAAACACAGCGTTATTAAAGTTTACAAAGCACTAAAAACTCTGCTGTAAAATATAATTTAGAAAAGCATTTTAATATGGACCATCTTATTTTGCCAGGACATGCGTTATCCCTCACTTTAAGGAGGTTGTGACTCCTTCAGGGTCATATCATCACTAGCCATAGGCTAGGTAAGATTTAAACTTATTTGTTCTCATTCCAAATGATGGATTTGAGTACCTATCCGTACCATGTGCAGTTTCCTCAGCCGTAGCAAAGAAATAGCTGTTCTTTCTTACTGGCATTAATGTAGCTTATTTGCAATAACTTTGAGAATCAACTTCACGATATTAGATTGTGTTGAATTTTGTTGGTGGTATCAAATAATATTTCTAATTTAAAAAACCCTTTATTTTGTTTTATAGCTTAAAATGAGTATTGGGTGCTAATGCTTATAACCATGAATTATAATCATGAATACTGCAGAATCACTTATATACCCCAACTATATGAACTAAACTGGATATTTATTTCTCTTTAAATAAGACAGTAAGTAGTACATCCCTGGCATGATTTTTCTTTCCTACTATAGAATGTTACAATGAAAATAGTAGTGGGGATGGTATCTTAGTCAGTGTAAGGAAAATAGTTACATGTTACAAATGGCAAAGGGTGACAGTGGCTTAAATATATATAACTGTTTGTAAGGCATTGGGATTTGGGCTTTAAATTATTAAGAGAATGGCTTTGGAGCCAGGTCTTCCAGTCCTACAATTTATTAGCTGACTGAACTTGGATAATTTGCTGTGTGTCTCCATTTCCTCATCTATAGAGATAATAATTGTACTTAATCTCAAACGGTTATTGTGAGGATCATGTTAATTTTTAAAAATCACTTGAAGCACATATGAGTACTATCTGTTAGCTGTTATTAATTTCATAATTCCAACTTCAAAATAACTTTCTCCTTTTGTTGGTAATTTGTGTAACTATTTCTCTAATCCAGCCTAGTCACTTCTTACCTTTGTCCTTAAGTTTTAAAGTATGTTTTCTGTTTTTATATCTGTAAGAAATGATTTCATATGGTGGTGCCAAAGAAGAGTTGTTAAATGCTAATTGAAAGAGGATTGGAAGTTCTGACTCATGCAATCTGACAATAGAGGTTCAGTTAACTGGACAGTCTTCCAGAAGCTTGATCGTGGCTAGTCAGCAAATGGATTAGCTTGACCAGCTGCTTTTTTGTCTGTGAAAATAACTTGGACTTCAGTGTTGTGTTAGCAACAGATGCTTTGTTTGAGTAGAGGAAGAAACTATAATTGCCTTGGGGTATGTAAGGCATACTGTTGGATACAGAGAACCACAGTATTATCTCCTAGAAATAAACAGAGGGATTTTGTTTATATCAAGTTTCTGGGACACTTTTGTGAACAGGATGTGTTATAGATAGGTGGTTTTGTTTGATACTCAAACCTTTTGATTATGTCCTTAAGTGGTTTTAAGATAAAATCCCAAAGGTTTCTTTACCTGATGAAATGTGTATATTCAAAGAAACCATTGAAACAAATACGACATTTGTGCCTTTCTATTAATAGAATATTGGTGCTTAAAATTTGATAGCTTAAGTTAAATTTTTGTACAGGAGATCATTCACATTCATAGGAGTTACTGTTTCTAGGAAAAGGTCCATGCCGTAGGAATAATAAAGGTGAAGAGGAAGAGGGAACGGGTCCCAGAGGAAGGATGTCACCAAGAGAATACGCTATCAATTGTTTGCTTTCCCCCACTTTTTACTGTGTATTCATTACTTTCTACGACTTGGAAAGGGTTAGTGACAGTCAGATGAGGCTTGACTGTATAAGACTGGACAAACCTAGAGTGGGGAGATGGACTGAGTTGGGGGAGTTTAAGGCATGACTGCCTGCAGCAAGCAGCATGTCTGCACTTAGCTGCCTTATCCTAGGTTCCTCCTCAGCCGGTGTTTGCTATCCTTTGCCTTCTTCATATTGTACCCTAGCAGTTCAAAGACCGAAGACCTCCACCACCTCCAGGTAAATTACCATCTGTCTAATGTTGGTACTCCTTCCTCTAGTGAAAAAAAATATTTCCTGAGGAATGGAAAGATAAATGAAAATTGAATATTGTTTTGCATCCAGTATTGTGTTAGACTGCTTTAAACTCTCAAAAAAGCTCTTAGTCCTATTGCACAGATATGGAAAATGAAACTCCGAGAGGTTAAGTGACTCTCTCAGAGTCACACAGCAGGCAAGTAGTAGTCAGGAGTCGAACCAGGTCTTTCTTCACCGCCCAAGCTTTTTTCATTACCACCCTCCTTGCATGAATCCTTTGCTTTTAAATGGTGGTAGGATTAAAGTAATTAAAACGTAAGATGTTAACAGGAATAAACCCCCTATAAGGTAGTTTTTTAAAAAGAAGCTAGTTAAGACTCGTGAAAATAGTTGATAGAAAGTATAGAATATGATTTAGATAAAAACCAGGAATTTGAACTTTTTTGCTGCCCCAAATAAAATCATTATTTTTTTGTAATGTATATGTGTGTGTGTGTGTGTGTGTGCACACACACACACACACGGTGCCAAAAAAAATGTATACACATTTTAAGAAAGAAAAACTGTATTATCATTATGCTGAGGGTAACCACTTTGAGCACGTCTTGTAATTGCAGAAGTCAAACGTGACTTGTATTCATCTTTTGTTATCGGTAGATATTGAGTATTACAATTTTTGTACAGTTTTTTCCTTTCTTAAAATGTGTATACAATGTTTTTGGTACTGTGTGTGTGTGTGTGTGTGTGTGTGTGTGTGTGTGTAAGTAATTCCCCTCTTTCCAGCTTTTTTCTTTTTTGAGAGAGGGTCTTAGCTTTCTTAAATAGAGCTGTGAAAGTATACGTTTTTGGTTTTTTTTTCCAAGTGGGGTTTTATACACCCCAGCCAAGCACAAACTGCAAACATTTCTGTGGAATGGATCAAAGTAATCTGGTATGATAACAAGGCATGAGATAGCCTCTTCAAAGGACCATAATGACCTACTCGTGATCACTGTATTTAAATACAGGTATCTTCATTTCTTGTTGAACCTTGAAGTTTAAGAAATTAGAAATATAGTGAAATGGACTTTTTTTTTAAATTTTAAAACAATGCTTCTTTGCAATGCCTAGCTGGATGGAAACAGAATTATTCATGCAGCAAACACATTGAATGTTTACCTTAGTGATAGATATTCCATCCTAGGGTAGACAATATTTTGAAGTCGGTGGATTTTGTCTCCAGCTTTCTTTTTATATGTTTTATACCCTCAATTGGCACCTCTTGCTAGATACAGGTTCTGTTAGTATTTAGTCTCAGTTATTGATACTTGTTGATTGATAGCTAATTA